AGTGGTGAGAATCTTTGTTTTCTTAATGTTGAGCTTTAATCCATATTAAAAGCTGTAGTCCTTGACCCTCTGCAGGAAGCACTTCAGATCCTCTTCAGTTTTAACTAGCAGGGTTGTGTCATCTGCGTAATGCAGATTGTTGATGAGTCTTCCTCCAATCCTGATGCCACATTCCTCCTCATAGAGCCCAGCCTCCCGGATAATCTGTTCCACATATAGATTGAAAAGATAGGACACATCCTTGGTACCCACCCTTCCCAATTTTGAACTATGCAGTGTTTCCTTGCTCTGTTCTGATAACTGCCTCCTGGTCCAAGTATAGGTCTTGCATAAGCACAAATCAAGTACTCTGGGATTCCCATTCTTTTGATATTATATAACTTCCAGAAACAAAATTTCAAAGATTTCAGTATATAGGATTTATAGTATCATTAAAAGCTACATCTTAAAAGTTATTTTCACATATTATCTTTGAGTTTTTTTAATTAAATTACCTCCTAAGCAAGGTTAAACCATGTTTTGACTGATTTTTTTTGCTTTGTTTTGTTTTAGCTCTATGAACCCAATGTATGTGTTGAGCTCCATGCCCCATACCTCCCTCAAGAGGCATTTATGACTCCTAGACATAACATGAAATTGATATTCATATGCCTACCCATTTTACCTACAGTAACTCCCTTAAAGGTTGAAATATCAAAGATGATGAGGATGGCATAGGATAGAGAAAGTTTCAGATTCTTTGTACCAAAAGGTCTCTCTGAATTGTAATCAGCTCAGTGACACTTGGCAACAACGTCGTTAAAACTATAGAATCACTAGACTCAAAGAAAGAGTTGCCATGGAATTGATTCTGACTCAGACAACCTCACAAGTACGAGTAGAACTGCTTCCTAGAGTTCTCAAGTCCATGATTTATGAAATAAATTGCAGACTTTCATCAGAGTTGCCATTGAATGAGTTTGAATTGCCAACCTTTATTGCCAATCTTTCTGTAATTAGTAGTCAAGTGCCAAACCATTTTCACAAACCTGGAAGTCACTAGTCAAGTATATGGAATATATATTTAAATGAAAATTTGTATTACTCATAATAGCTCATTCTTTATGATTGGTTAATATATGTTGTTTTTCTTGTTGTTATGTGCTGTCGAGTCTCTTGCGACTCATAGCAACCCTATGTACAATAGCCCTAATCCCTGCTCTATCCTGTGCCAATCGCATTGTCTCTGACACACCCATCCCGATTACCCCAGTCACTGAATCAATTCACCTCATAGAGGGTCTTGCCCTCCTGCGCTGTCCCTCCACCCTCCCAAGCATGATGTCCTTCTCCAAAGACATGTCTCTCATTACAACATGTCCAAAGTATGTCAGATGAAGCCCCAGAACCCTTGCCTCCAAGGAGTAGCCTGGCTTAACCCTCTCCAGGATGGATCTGTTTGTTTTCTTGGCAGTCCATGGAACATTCAATACTCTTCTTCAGCACCACAGCTCAAAGGCGTCTATTCTTCTTCTGTCCTCCCTAGTCATTGTCCAACTCTCTGATGCATAACAAGTGATTGCAAAGACCATGGCCTGCATCAGGTGCACCTTAGTCTCCAGAGAGACACTGTTGCTCTTGAGTACTTTAGAGAGGTCCCTAGCAGCAGACTTTCCCATCGCAATATGTTTTTTGGTTTCCTGGCTGCTGGTGCCAAGAGTGTTGACTGTAGAGGCGAGCAAATGGAAGCTGTGAACAATCTCAATCTCTTCACCATCCATCCTGATGGTTAATATTTATCTTGTTATATAGAATTTCTTTTCATTCTTATCTAAAATTTTAATATGTGCAATGAATAAGTATGAATGAAAAAGTATTCTGCTCTCAGAAATTTTGTTAGGTTTCAGATTATTGTAATAAAATATTTCTGTGGCTCTGATTTTATAATTACTTTTTATAGCATTAAGATGAATGCATTTCTATGGTTTTTGAATCTTTTAATATGTATTTTTCTTTAGATTTGTATTGGAGGAAAATGTGTAGAATCAAAGATGCTTCAACAAGAATCAGAAGCTTGTACAAAACAGTGTAATGGAAATGGAGTAAGTAAGCACATGATTATATGCTTACTGTAGTCATATCTATCTTGAACTCTTCAAGTGCCATTCATTTATTTAACATTTATTGGGATCTTATGTGCTAGACCTTATTGGAGCTAAATTGAGTTGCTAAATTTAACAGCCACAATTTGTGAATATTAAATTGTTGGTTACCTAAACAAATGTAATATGTGGTTTATTTTCACAAGTTGTTGTATAATGCATTAATTTGTTTGTGAAGGAAAGAGAATTATGCCATAAATTCTGCATTTGAGCACATGGAGTAAGAAATAATGATTGACTTTCTTTTTACTTTCATAGCAATCAAATGCATTTGTATATCTGCAGGCCTCTAGAGAGAAATAGGCAATGGTAAAATGAAAATTCATTACAAAACATTTGTGAAAATAAAATGAAAAGTGATCTTCCAAATTTGAAAGAAAAGAACCTTTTCATTCATTTTACATTGATTGCATTTTAGATAACAGAATTGAAACTAAAATTGTGTAAGATGAAATTTGTACAGAGAAGAGTAATCAAGAAAAAATGTTTTTATTGTGTTGTGATATTAATGAGGCAGTCAGAATATTCACATTGAAACAGATGTGTAAACATCATTCAAATAAAAAATGATTTTGTCAAAACTTGAATTGTTGTTATTATGTGCCAAGTCGCCTGTGACTAATAGTGACCCTATGAACAGCAACTCTGAACCATGTCCTGTCCTGAGCCAGTCTCACTAATTCTGACACACCAATCCCTATTGTTCCAGTTACTGTCCCATCTCATCCAGGGTCTTCTTCTACTGTGCTATCCCCCCACCCTTCCAAGCATGATGTCCTTCTACAAGGACCAGTTTCTCCTGGCCACATGCCCAAATCATGTGAGATGGAGCTTCAAAATCATCGCCTCCAAGGAGAAACTTGGTTTCACCCTCTCCAAGATAGACCTATTTGTTTCTTGGCAGTCCATGGTATGTTGTATATTTAAGACTCTTCTCATCCATCTCAACTGGAGGCATCTACTCTTCTTCTGTCATTCTTAACCACTGTAAAATTCTCTAAAGCATAACAAGTAATTGCAAAGACCTTGGCCTGGATTAGGAGCACATTAGTCTCTAGAGTGATGATTTTCCCAGTGCAATTCATCTTTTGCTTTCCTTACTGCTAGTGCCAAGTGTGTCGATTGTGAAACTGAGCAAGCTGAAACTGTTAACAACCTCATCTCTTTTTCATCTATCATGCTGCTGCCAATTGGTCGAATGGTGAGAATCTTTATCTTCTTGATGTTGAGTTTCAATCCATATTGAAGACTACAGTCCTTGGCCTTCTGCAGCAAGCACTTCAGGTCCTCCTCAGTTTCAGCAAGCAAAGTTGTGTTATCTGCATAATGTAGGTTGTTGATAAGTCTTTCTCTAATCCCGATTCCACATTCCTCCTCATAAAACCCTGCTTCTTGAATGATCTGTTCTGCATATAGTCTGAAAAGGTATGGAGATAGGATGCGTCCCTGACGCACTCCTTTCCTGATTTTGAACCATGCAGTGTTTCCTTGCTCTGTTTTGAGGACTGCTTCCTAGTACAAATATAGGTTTCACATAGCACAGTCAAGTGTTCTAGGATTCCCATTTTCCTCAAGGTTAGCCACAATTTGTTGTGATCCATACAGTCAAATGCTTTTACATTGTCAAGGAAACACAGATAGACATGTCCTCTGGTACTCTTTGCTTTCTGCCAAGATCCATCTGACATTGGCAATAATGCCTATAGTGCCATGACGTCTTCTAAACCCAGCTTGTATTTCTGATAGTTCTCTGTCAATGTATTGTTCCAGTTGTTTCTGGATAATCCTTAGCAGGATTTTGTGCAGCCATATTTAAAAATACCAAGGAAGTAAGTAAATGAGAAAGGCTGGTTTGGTATAAAACTAGAGACATTAACCAACTTATATTACCATTTGAACACTTTGTTGCTTTATTGTACTGTAATTTTTACATTTGTTTGAAAAGTGAGGGGGTAAGATTGAGAATGTGTGTAGCCCCCAAAATGTTCAATTTACATAATGAAACCACTGTTACTGTATTATGCATTCTGCGTTTAGTACTTTCCCTTTTGCTTTACTTTTTAATCTTGTTTTTTCTTTGTTTTATACTACCCGTAGCCCATGCTAATAATTCACATGTATCATTACTTCTTAGTTTATCATAAGTTCATGTGATCATGTATAGACATAAACACTATGCTCTTTGATGTTTTCCAAGAGCTTTCAAACTTGGCAACCAAATTTGGCCTAAACCAAATTTTGGTATCAATATAAGTAACGATATTAATATTTTGTGGGTTGTGTCTGATTGCATTTAATAAGGTTTATAAGATTTTACTAGATAAGATATGAAAAATATTTTAAAAATTGAAGTAAAATAATAAATGGTAGTTATATTAATATAATTTATTTTATTACTAACAATAAATAGGATGAAAGGAACACTCTTCCTTATAATCACGATGAAAGAAATTATGGAGATAAATAGTTAACAATTGATGCTAAAAATAGAGAATGAAGGCTTTATGATTTCTAAAATATTTGTTTAATCTGAAAAACATCTCCATATAAATGACTCTTTAATTACAATTAGAGGCATAGTCTCTTTGCAGAGAAAAACCTTGGAACCAAAGTAATCAAAAATAATAATGTATGTTCACACACATCTTGGCATCCTGTGACTTCTGAGACAGCCACATCACTAAAGTGATGAATGTAGGTTGGAAGTGCAAACATGTAGACATGCATAAGAGACACATAGACACAGAGAAGAACTTGAGGGAGGGTGTCTCAGTTATCTAATGCTACTATACAGAGATACCACCAAGAGATGGCTTTAACAAATGTAAATGTATTTGATGAAGGAAGAAGTTCAAGCTGCTTTGAAGGAAATAGCAAAAAATAAGGCCCCCGGAATAGACGGTGTACCAATTGACATATTTCAGCTAACAGATGTTGCCCTGGATATGCTCACCAAGTTTTGCCAAGAAATCTGGAGAACAACCATTTGGCCAACTGACTGGAAGAGATCTATATTTGTCCCCATCCCAAAGAAGGGTGACCCAACTGAGTGTGGAAACTACAGAACAATATCATTGATTTCACATGCAAGCAAGATTCTACTGAAGGTTATCCAAAA